AAGGCAAGGGACTTCTTCGCTCGATCACTCAACTCTAGAAAACGTGGGAACGGTCTTATGCCTCCCCACAAAGGACAGATCCAGTGGGAATAACTCCTCACATTATATGCTAGCCTAATAGTTCTTGCGTCAGGTATTCAAACACGAACAACCAACCGTGGCTCTGGCCCGAGCGCATTGCCAGTTTAGGGAAGATAAACCCACACATCAAGCTCCTCGCAGAAGTGCTCCGGTGCTCCCCTACTGTATAGTTGCGGCACATGTTACTGTCACGCATTCAGTGAGATGATCCTCGAAGTTGGCCGCCACCAAAGTATTACTATATTTTTAGCTACAGATGGAAGGTTGGCTCGAGCCACTTGGGAACGTGGTCTTCTTCATGTAGCTGTTCCGTATCCTTAGTAACGACAAGGTTTAGGGCATTCCCATCCTTTTGCGCCGCGTAACGACTGAGGTGGAGATCACGAAGTCTTCTCTTTCTCCTTCACCTTCTTCCGTAAGGTTCGCCGCAGGCAGAACTCGACCCAGGGCTCTGGTAACCTCTGCAGCAGGGGCATTTAGTCGCAACCACGTGGCCCGCTATTGGTCCTTTGGGATCAATTGGCGTCCTATAGTGCCTCGCAGGGCTCTTTTCATGGAGTATATCGCAGAAACTTGTTTCGCAAAGTCTCTCGGTGCATGACGAATCCTGTCATAATATTGATATTAGTTAGCCCCAATAGTCGACTCTACCAACAACATTTCGTCCCAGCAAGGCTAGAGATCCTTACCTACTCCAACGGGAACCGGGCTCACCCGAAATAAAATAAGTCCCATGCTGGGAGAAGGAGCCGAATTTCCCAACAACAATATCAGCTCAGTGAGTTTTAGGAAAGGAGCGGCTGAAGAATCCCTGGTTTATTCACCGTGACTATCTATTTCCTGCCGCTCACACACCTAAACCTGCCAAGCCAACAGTAAGGGACCATGCTGTAGTCTTGGAGCGTTCATGCATCTATCTTTTAGCGAAAGTACCAAGCAGGCAGAGAGGAATGTTTAATATGCAGTCTGCTGTTCCCATGGCGGTGGGGAATACTACAAGGCAAGGTCGGCACGTGTATCCGGCGGTTTTTTTTTTTTTTTTTTTTTTTTGGCGTACTTGCCTACGATGCTTCATTGATCTAATTTAGCAGTAACAAATAGGTGCCTCGTCATATCAATTTGCTCATTGGTGGATTGAGTCTTGATTTTATAGGTTTATTGATCACTGGTGGAAGATGATGATGGCATCCCTCCCAACTACGCAGCCAAAGTACTCCTTAAACGAAAAGTAAGTGTGTGAAAGAAAAGGCTGTATCGAGGACAAGGCCGCGTGGCCTGAATTTCGTAACGCCAGTATAACACATTTGCCGTGAGAGTCGTCCCGCGTACTGCCGGTCACAGTCAAGGAAATATCCGATGCTACCTATGTGAAACCATCATCCCAAGTGAGTGTGACCATGCTTCTTGGTGATTCTGCCGAGAACATATCCGCGCTCATATTCATTCTGGGGTCTTCCTGGCAAAAGAAATTCACCATGAAAGAAGGCTGTACAATTATTGAGCTTTGTCGACAGCATGTTCACGTTAGCCTCTCGACTGCCCGCTAGAAGCGGCAAACTTATAAGAAAAGTCGCACATGAAGCTAGCCCTAGACCGGACCATACTGCGCGAATATGGTCTGGTCTCAGCATACCGACTCTCCAATCGACTTTGAGTGTTCTTTCGAAGGATGGTGTCGTGATTGGCACTGGTAGCGGCACACATTCCCATTTGGCCGTCCGGCATGAGAACGGAATTAGGGCCGTTCTCGTGCCTTTGAAGAATATTCCAACTAACTCAATTGGATGGTCGCACATCGGCCGAGACACGTTCGGTACAGGCCAACGATCGGCTGTCACACATTGTGGATAAGGTGGGTGGACGCGAGTATTGTAGAACAACGAGGGAACTCAATAAGCAGCTGTGATTTTCGTCTGAAGACACGCATGGTTTTGATTGAGCCCTTGACACTCCTTCAACGTGGGGTTAGGATGAGGGTTCACGATGAAGGTAGAAGTATTTTAAGCTGGGATAATTGAAGTCCTCCAAGATGATCATCACCTGTGAGCCCTACTATATCACGCCCATTTATCAAAAACGCAAATTTCAAACGCCCTCACTGCATATCGAGAATAGAGAAGTGCCCCAATAGTGCTCTTTTGTACCCGAATACAGCGTGGATAGCGTGGGGTGCACCTATACATGGATTCTCATGCTGGCACATGGAGGAGCCTAGATCGGGTTGGCCCTGCAATCTACCGAACAGCGTATCACGCCACAAGCAGAGGCATGGCAAAAGATTTCGGTGGATAGTGACGCCGATGCTACACAGAATGAGTAAGTGTGAGTGTGCGACTGCGGCGTGTCATTGGTCTCGGGGTGGAATGCAGGTGGTAGCATGTTCGAAATGTCGCTGTGCGTAGCGTCTCGAATGCTCTCGAGACAGGCTGCGGTTTGATTGATCCGACGATGCTCAAGGTGGATTGTAACGGCACACTCTACAACGGGACGATTCTGCTACCAGCCGTGGGCCTGAAGGATCGCGTCGAGGCCGCTGTTGGTAGAACCTTGATTGTGTCGTGGGGCAAGCAAGTGAGCAAGCGAGCGAGCAAGCAAGCAAGCAAGCAGCGGCCAGGGAGTGATTGTATTACTAGGACGACCCAGATGCTCCAGATGCTCCAGACGCTGCAGACGCTCCTACATCGTAGGCGTAGCCTAATTGAAATCGAAGAGAATAAAATAACTTCGGTGTCGGTGAGATTATGTTGGAAGTGAAGCTAACAACCAAGGCAGTTGTGGTTCCAGGCTGTCCGCTGCTGAAGGCCTGAAAGACACATGGAAGCTGCTTGGAACTCGCGCGGAAAGGGGATCGTGGGTTCCCTGTCTCCACTTGCACTCCATTGAAAGTATCCCATCTCGGCCGCGTCTTACTTACATGGAAAGCCTACTGCACATACTACCTTGTATGTTTGCATGTACCGAGCATAGATAGTACTTTGGTCGCTCGCAACTCACTATCACCTAGCACGACTTATCGTCATATATCTGGCCTGCTGTCTGGTCTACTGTCTGGTCATAGGTCATATGAACATCTACCACTGGCAGTACACAGCCCTGGTACTAGGTAACACGCCGAGGCACTGACAGGCATCGGCCGCCAAGAGCTCTGCACGAGCTGCATATGTACAGCATCAACGGCGGCAATCTAGTGTACTAGGGCTGTAGATTGTTTCTCACCTGGGCGGCCGGGTAGTCAGCTTATTGGCTCCTCAGGATGTGGCCCCGATGCCCGTTGGTTGATGGACTTTGACCCTGCTGCATAGCAGCAAGGCTGTAGGAGATGGATTTGTATTTCCTCTTACGTCCTCTCACGGCCTCTCACGTCGCTCTCCTCTCGTTGTCCCCATCGTCTCGCTAGTATCACGAGGTTGATTTTGGCTCACTTGGCCGGAAATAGTGAGGCCCTTCGAGGTGGGCCTTGAACTATCTACATAGAGGCAAGTCCTTGGTTAAATATAGGTACCTACACCTGCATACATGCTTGGCCGGTACGTACCCGTACTCGTACCTCCCACGCCTAGTACCGTAGGTACTTTCATATGTATTGCTAATTGTGGGTGGCCAGGCCATCACAGGATCATGATATCGAGATGAGAGGTTTCTACATGTACAGACTCGTCATCACCACCGCCGCCGTCGAACTACACAATGTGTGTACTTGGAGTTCTACCAGATAGGCGGGCGGGCGGTGGCCAACAATCAAGACGGACACATGGACATACAAACACACGCGCACACACATACACACATACATAGCAAGCCAGGTATATCCATTTTTAGTGTCTCCACAATCATCACTGCATCTACATGTGCGCTAATCCGCGGAGCATCATACTGGCGCAGAGTACCTACATGTAAGGACTAAATGTCTGAGCTTAACTTCCGGCGCGGTGGGATTACAGGTCGGCCCCTGGCAGTTCTCGAAAAGGCAATGAATGCATGGGGCCTAGAAGGGAGTGATTACTTATACTTCACGCAAGTATCCAGGTACCTTGGACAGACAGACAAGACCCCGAGAAGATGATCAGTTGTAGGTTCACCAATAGGAGAGCTCATCGGCTATCTAACTCGTCGAGGTTACATAGTCGGTAGGCAACTCAGTAACTCATCTCAAGTCTTCCTATCCAGAGCCCAGATTGGTGCTTCTGCCTGGCGCGCTTCGCGCGTGTTAGCAGCAGTGAATGCGCGCTTCTTAGCCGCAACGAGCGATTGCCGCCAATAGCAACGGTTGATGGCGTCCTAACAGAATGAAAGCGTGTCGAAGCCATGCATGCCAACGATGCTAATGATGCGTCTCCTTGGACTAATTCTCGGTAACCTAACATTCTTCATGACGGACTCTTGATTCTGTCGTCTGAGTGGCCGCGTGGTGAAATGCGCAGCGGTGGTCGAGATCCTTCCCGCGCTCAGCACACGAGAATCCTTAGACCTTAGCCGAGTTAGTCAAGAGTCTTGTTGCACACTTACATACCAACAGACGAAAAAAAAAATAATACCCGTCACTGACGCATGACAGCAATGTCACCCATAGCTTTGCCGTTGGCACAATCTATCTGGAGCGCAGGCATCCTGTTACCCCGTCGTATCTGATCCACTAGCCTGGCTAGAGAGACACCCCCAAAGCCTCTCAGCCCTGGAGACCGTTGTTGCACGCCGATTGCGATGCCGCAACTTCCAGGCTTGCGGCAGATGACCGCATTCTAGAAACTCCCGTAATAGCGAAGTGTGTCGAAGCTGTTCCCAAGTCGTTCCCTGTCGCATGTTTGTCTATGTACCTACACCAGACCCGCCCATCCGGCCGTCGTGGCAGGTTAGCAATGCCGCGCCACACGCATTGCTACTGTTGGGAAGAGAGGTCACAGAAACACAAGGCAGATATCCAGATCTCCATGCCATCTTGCAGCAAACCTGTACCTGACGTCCCTTCTGGCCCCTCTTGGGCAAACAATATCATCACCACTCCTTGATTGAACCCAATGCTCTTGTAATATTTCTATAAATGCTCGCTCTCCCGCCCGTTGATGAACTGAGTTATACTCGCATCATCATCACCATCACCACACTATCACTACATTCACCAACACATACACAACTACATCTGCTATCTTACAATCTATCAATCACCATCATCATCATCATCTCGCCTCAGTCCAACTGTCTCGTCAACTTCAGAGTGAGTCTTCGAGCTCCCGGCTTAATAGACTGTCTAGATATTTTGCTAATCAGATCTCGCATTATAGTCAAAGACTTTCAACAATCAGTCAAAATGTGTACTCGTCAGATCATCATTTACAGCTGCGGCCACAGCCGTGATATGGGCGTCGTGCTTTGCGGCAGTCCCTCAACCTGCGGCGGTCCTCGAGTCAAGGAGAATGACTACGCGGGTCAATGCGAAGCCCACTGAGCATCACAGGTACTGTACACTATGACGAGTATGCTGATACACTCATTTTTTCTATGACTATAGTATCTCTAACATCTTATACAGGAATGAGACTGCAAGAACTTGGCATGAGGCACGGGCTAAAATGAAGAAGAAAAAAGGAGAGAGAAGGATCATGAATTGGTTCGGCTATAAGAGCGGGGGCGAGCAATCGCGATGTTGTCGGATTAACTTTGCTATATTTTCTGTTTTTCTTTTTCCACAGCTCTCTGATGGTAGTACTCAGTACTGCACCCATGAGAGCGGTTCTTTCTTTCACGCAATCATCATCTATTTCCTTTCTTGATGCATACGCAGCAGGGGGGTTTCACTTGGTCGGCAACGGTAGGAATGGCGCCATGATGTACCCCGGCTACTCTTTTTCTGCGGATTTTGGGCGCTAGACTTTTTGGGTGTACACTACACTTTTGCTATTTCGAATATCATTTTTCTCTGTCTCTCAATCGAATACAATATCTGTCATTTCCGACCATCACTCTGTTGCAGACTGCGGATATGTCGTGGCTTGGCCGTGACAGCGGGTAGCGACCTAGCCGAAAGAACCATTTGCATCCCCGTTTGGTGAGCTGGTGTCGTGGCTGTATGACCGCGGGAAGCATCTTTCCGTTTGACACATCCGCTGTCACCCCGGTTAATACGTCCGCTGTCAGGAGCCATGCTTCCCGAAGGCACAGGGCTGGGATGATGTAATCCTTGGACATGCTAGTCTGGAAACTAAGTAGGTAGACGAGGAGCTCGCGCCAACACCCGGCCGTAAGATGTGGCCAAAAATGACACGACAATAATAGCGGTGGAAAGTTGCGTACATACATAACGACGGCGGTGAGTAAAACAAAGCAAAAAAATAAAATAAAATAGAAATAAGAAATAAGAAAAATACCTATCTATAAGAGGGTTGATATGGCGAGCCATAGCCTCCAGTCATTGAAGAACTTCGCATATGCATTTAATCATGTGATGTCTTCTCTTCGGCAGTTTCGTACTTGTCCTAGGCAAGCCTGCATCTTACCTAGGTTCTGGGAAGACGTCTACGGCTTAGAATTATATGCTGCACCGCACCCAATCTTGGAGGGTAGTCTTGTTCGGCTTCTTGTGTGCTTCCCTGGCAGCTTTGGTCAAACCGCCCGTTCCATTCTTGCGTGTACAATGAAGTTGAAGGTCGGAGGCGAGGCGGTTGAATTCGCCTATCCGGCCACGGTCACGGCCTCGGAACCGATAGAGATTGAGTTCAGGGGTTGCCCACTACATATGTACTTACTTATGGGTAGTTGCACTAAGAATAGGTACCTACATGGGTATGTACCTAAGGTATTACCTGTGCACTACGTGTATGTACCTAGGTACAGACATGGATGAAAATTACCTGCATAACCTACATATATACATATCTACAGTATGTAGGTAGTACTTACTCGTGGAAGTACATACCATTCATGTGTACATGTGGAAGTCAGTAGCGATGAACACTTGAATGCAGAAAGGTACAAGTTGGATAGGTGAATAAAGGTACCTCTACCTCGCGCGGCACATTCAAGCAGCACTTGCCAATTTCCTGCGGCTCTCCCAATCCCGTCGGCCTCCATCTCGTCCGCAATCCCGCAAATCGCTTCCCTCCTTCTGGCTTGCTGTCTGTCCTGCTGTTATCTGTACCTCGTCCTTTTCGTGACGATCCTGCTGCAGGTCCTCGACGGTTTGAGATTGGGCTGTGATGGTCGTTCTCCCGCCCGAGTGGACCGGAGATCCGCAACTAGCAGGCTTGGACCTCCTGGCGTTGGCCCGTTGAAGCGGCCCGAGCCAACTTTGCCTCAGCGGCCCGACCAGAAACGGCGGCCACCCTTATATTGATCCATTTCTTCACCACTCGATTTGATAACTTACGAAGCTTTGATTTGAATTGAGGTAGCCCGTATACGACCTGTCCATTACTCACCCGAAATAACTGTGATACCACCGAGCAGCTAAAATGCCCTCGCCAATCCCGCAAGGCAGACACTCGAACCGTTGCAGCCAGCTCCGTGTGTTGCTTTCTCCAACTTCTTGGCCTTGCACCAAATGTAGGTGACCTCACGGACGATTATGTCACAGACCGGCCCTCTGCTCTGCGCACCGAAGCGTGGCAAGCCACTATAGTCTCCAGCGCTGCCTTTGGCTCGCTACACCCGCTAAAAGTCTATAAAGTCTACTCCCGCGAAATTACGAGAGCGACTGGATCACTATCGGCGCCTCGCAGCCAGTGGCAGCAGAGAGATACGGCACTTAGCTATGTGCAATATAACGTAAAGAGTGATTGAGTGGCTGCAGAATATTCTCACACCACAAGAAGCTAAACTGATCTCCCGTGTGCGGAATTTGCATCCTACTCAAGGCAATGAGAACGCTTGATGCGTGGAATTGCGGAACGTTGCACGCGAGCATCGACTACCTACCTACCTAGTGGGGTAGGTACAGCATTCTAGAAGTCAAGAATGGAAACATTGCATTCCTCAGGTACTGAATGAGTAAGAGCTGCATTAGGAGTGATAAGGAGTGTGCCAACAAGGGTCATGAACTCATCGTCTCCTCCCAAATAGTTTCAGCATCCTAGGCAGAAAGACTCCAGCTGCCAAGACACAAGTTCACAAAAGTACACCCTATCGGTTCCGGCACCCTGGAAGCGATTTTAGGTGCCTGCGATGGTTGACTTTACTATAGCCCAATCACCAACACTCGTCGGGAGTGCATGTGCAGCTACCTACTTGATCGAGTCATTTCTAACACGGCTTGCGTAGCATCCAATTTCCTTGCTGGCAGGCAAGTTAACCCTGTGCTTGTTAGCCCCTGCCGGCCATTTTGGCGGGTAGGGGGATCGGCCGGGTGTGTCAGAATAGGGCACCCCAAGTGGTACTGTTGACCCCAACTTGTCACTTTTGTATGTGCCGGCCCTAAGTGTCATCTTCGACGTGTCGTGACAATGGCTAAGTTGGGAAGCTAACGACTATATTTTTTACTGATCGACTCCAGAATACCTATTGTGATGCTCTATTGATTATTTGTTTACGAAGAATATGCGACTGGACTCTATCAGTCTTCTAATCATGTTCTTAGTAGGCAACGAAATCTATTTGAGGACATGGCCTTCCCCGCGCGGATCAACTAGTGGAGCTAAAGATTGTTACGTAAGTTAGACCATCAGATCTGAGGGGACCTTATTGTAGTGCCTCCTTCGGAGATACTAAATAACATCACCGATGTAGTGTGGGCTCTGGCAAACGTACCTATGCTCGTCTCAATGATGGGATCACATCAATGGCGAGATGGTTCCTGTATTTGCAATGGTATATCTGTGACGTAGCTCGTCGTGGATGAATAGGCCCCAAGACAAGTGGATTTTGCTAAACCACGGGTCCTGACCGATCGATTAAGTCCGCCTTTCTGCCCATGCCATCCGGGATGTCAGGCTTGATGATAGGGAAGTATTGGAGGCTAATTGGCCAATAACTGTGTGCATGTGAGGGCCTAGATGTTACCCCATAACGCCTCGCCAAGTGGTGGCTAAACATTCATCACCAGTTGACTTTGACAGAACAGTATCACAGGTTCTGATTATTGTCTCTAACTTATATGGTTCTAGCTAAAAAAAAATCCGACGCTATGGACTCCTTGTCCACTACGGTATGGAAAAAGGTCAATCTTACCACTTAGGGGATCCTGAGACTAAATCTCACGCATCGGGTTTGGCCCCATGCCTGATCAGACATGATTTGAATCCCGGTCTTGATACCATGACGGTTAACTTATGTCAACTAATGTACGATGACTAGAATGCAGCAATAGCAGTTACGTGATGCGGAAGTGAATGATTGCTAATGTTCTGAGATGGGGACCATTATGGCTGACTCTACTTCTGCAGTAAGACACGTGGCTGGCTGCTTTACCCCATTCCGAATATGTATGGAACACGCCATTGAGCCTTCGACCACGCGAAGTGTGCAGACTCATACTTTAGGTACCTACCTACTCTATGATCCTGACATATGCAATCCTTTCTAGTGGCCAACAGCTAACACTGCATGATGCGTAGCACGTGTAGGACCTGTTATTTTACAAATGCAAAGATTATACTAATTCTACGTGATTACTACATCCGAAACTCTGTCGTATTCGGGTTAGTTGAAGTGAGTTCCAAGTAGAAACCAGAATTAAATCAGCCTGTTGGCGACTAATGTGGTTTAAGATCTGGCAATAGTTGCAAATACTTACCTTTACGGCAATTTATTTTCAGCCCTATCCCAGTACCACGGTTCCTACCGCACCACGTGGGTAGCATTATTCCATGCAGCATCCTGGCAGACTACCGAGACAACAGTTCTGAGTCCTACACTACAATGGGGTCGAACGTATCGCGTCTTCCAGGCGGAGATCAGCCGCCAACGGTATGTCGGTAATGTCAGCATTACATTTTGGCCTCCACCCGCCACTGCATCTTTAGGGCGTTAGAGATGTCTCTTTACCGTCTCTCCAAACGGGGCTTCAGAGGCGTAAACCAACAAGCTCCGTGGCGCAATCCCCCAATTACATCGGTGTATCTCGTATCAACATATAGTATCACGAGCAGATACTATCTTTATCATTCTTTTTTTTTTTTTTTTTTTCAAATGCATCCTTACTTACCCTCCCTATGGGCGAGTGTTCCCAAAATGAAGATTGGGTTGATTACAAACGTCATCATGCCGGATAACCCGAGCTCCGGCCGAGTAATTCTTGATGCCGGAGACCTACGGACGTCACGTCTGAGCATCTGGATTGAAACCTCCCGGTCTCACGTTACAAAGCCAACGCCTGACTTTATTCTGGAGGTATCGGGCTCGTAACTGTTCCCCTAAGCGTACATCAAAGTAAGTGGCGTCTGCACGTTGTCTAGAGCTTTCAAAACTAGGTATCTTGGCGATCCTTATTTTGCCAGCCGTGCTTTTCAGCGGAAAGAGGGCATTCTCGTTGCCGTTAGCGCAAGATGTGGATCTATGGTGTTCTGTCACCAGTGAAGCTCTTGCCTGTCTATCAGGTGACTCACATTCTTTGTCGAGACGCTGGCGCAAGAGAAGATACCCAACAATATTACCGCGATCTCGGAGGTCTATGATGGAAATACCACTCGTTAGTTCCTTCTTTCGCTTCTGGGTGCATGTCTTCTAGGAATAGTACGAGTGGCGTCTCGTAATGATGTCGATGACCTTGGCTTTATGTTGAGCTGCTGCAAGGTCAGAATCTGTCCTGGATCTATCTGGGCTACAACAGCTAAGTATCCATCTGTTATCCATACTTTCCCCTTACGAGAAGTCACGTCTACCTTGCCTGTGGTCCGCTATTTACCTTGCCTACCGCTTACTAATGTATGCTTGCTACTTATACGCATGGGCTAGATATCAAGGCCGCAATCTTGGGGATATTCGGAATGAGATATATGCCGCGTTTCGAAAGACTGTTGGTGGCGATTCCTGCGCCTAATCTCTGGGCTCGCTCCTACTTGCCTTATGTTAGCTCTCAGCTCAGGAGACACATGCGCAAAGTCCTTCCTCACACCGGCGCATTCCCCCGAAGTAAGCAGTGTAGCGCAAGCTAATTAACCCATCATTGGATACATCACATCATACGCTTACTTTACTTCCGGAGACGCCATCTGCCCTATAGGAAGCCTCGCGCGGCATATCTGTTGGTCTCTGACGCTAGCGAAGAAAGCTCAAATTAGTGTAGACGCGCGGACCGCGCATAGCGCTTGTAGTTGGACAACCGCGAATTACTGCAATATAACACGACCCCGCGTTTGATCGTCACATGCGTTCGTCTTAGTATGCCTCAACTAACTATAACTAGCATGACGGAGAAGCAAGGCAGACAAAAAAAGGAGATATACTCAATTCGATTGTATGATTGAGCGAAATTGATATCATGCCAAGCCCCGCTAACAACTTCCGAGTCATTCGGGGAGATAACTCTGGCCTTGCCTTGCCTGGATTAACCAGAAAGAAAAGGAGAAGAAGGTTAACAGGAGTTATGTATGTTGGTTGTTAGGCTGTTAGTTTCTCTTTTTCTTTTCTTTTCCGTCATCGCGGCTGTAACGTCCGAATGACTGACCGACGTGACATGTACTAACGCACACGCGCGGCAGTTTTTAGACTTCAGCCCTATCATTTCCCCTTTTTCCCCTCCGTCTTGTTGTTGGTCACTATCATGTTATCGTGTCTATCTCAGCCCCGGCCCCTTTTACCCGTCTTCCTTCTATGTTTCTATACTAGGTAACAAGGACTATAGGCATAACCTAAGTACGTAGATCTTAGCAGTTCTGGAAATTTGTTCATGTCAACTTGATGTATACCCAGGTAGAGTATACTTAGCCCTGGTTTCGCGGTGAAGAAAGGTCACGGACCCTACAACTTCATGCAATATACACTTTGAATAGATGTGATTGAATTGATAACGACACGCCCCTTCCCCCTTGGCACCGTTGAGGCACGGAAGTTAAGAATGTATGGTATGTATATAGAAGTATTCGGTCCTTTCCTTTGCCGAGAAAAAAAAAATCTATCATCTGATCTGATCACCTCATGTTCCGCGTATTGGTTGTTGTTGGGTAGGTATATACGTATATACATACAAATGTGCTTGCTTGCTCTTGTAGTATCCGTAATGTCTTTGAGTTATTTTCCTGTCTAGTCTAGACTTATCCCGTCAATGCCGGATTACTTCCGCCGCAGAGCTTGTTGATGCGCATGGTGGTTGTCGTTGGTGATTTGTATCACATCTAGGTACCTACCTACCCTGGTCATCGTGATGAAGTTAGTAGAGTGGGTAGATAGCTAGAGAGAGAGAGAGAGGGAGCTTAGGTATGAGCTTATACAACCAATGTGCTGGAACTAGGGCTCGAAGATGAAGGAGAATAGAGATATAATAATGAAAACTTCTGTTAGATATTATCATCATCATCAATTATTGATCAAACAAGGTCCTGACAAGACAGAAAGATGTAGAAGCCCGCAAATTCAGTTGCTTGCTTGACTTATCTATCTATCGGCTGATAGAAGAGTTCGAAAAAAGAGATCCCCTGACTTTATATGTACTTGCCACTCGCGGTCTGAACAATGTCATTCTGTGATCTATCTGCCCAATCGCACGCTGATCTGGACTGTTCGATCATACAAATGCTCCTCCCTCCTAGCCAGCCTGTTGAGCTTTTCGTTTCCCACACATCCCTCATTCCATGCGGTACGTTAACCATGGATTCACTCAATCTGCGAGGTTGCGTGAAAACTGCAATCTTTTTCTCCTGCCACTGAATCCCTCCACCCCACCATCCAGGAGAAAAATCGAAGCCAGTCGTGTTCCCTCCTCTCTTACTTATTCTTAGTTGTACAGTATATCGATAAATGAATTTTTTGCTTTCAGCAGAGTTTTTTTTGTGGATTAGGAAAAGCTCCCTCCTTTCCCTGATATGTGTTGCTACCAATCTTTCTAGTCTTGGGTTCAATGCAAAAATCGGATAGTAGAAATCTTCTCTGTGAATTATGCGAGTATTTCGCTGGGAAGAAGTGTATTAGGAGAATTGTGACCGCAAAAGTAAAACGAAGAAATGCAGAAACGCCCAGATGCTGTAGAAACCATTCGTGACGCCTTGGTATGTTATTCAAACAATCAGATGAAGCGTGAGTCCCAATATCATATGTTTGCCTAGTATTATTGTTTGGGCGAACTAGGAGAGCTATAATTGATAGAATTAGCAAGGCAATATACCACAGAGATAAGAACTACATACTACTTAGGGCTAGTACTGCCGCCAGGCCCAGGAGAATTGAATTGGGGTGACTATATTAGGCTCGTTAGCATTGTTACATTATTTCTGTATCCTATAATGAAAGAACCTACCGTTGGCGAGTAGTTAGGACTTGTAGGTGAAGCCGCTTGCGGGCGATAAGTTGGGCTAGTAGGCGAATACTGCTGGTTCGGTGAGGTAGGTGAGTAATGAGGCGACGCAGGGGAGTAGCTGGGTGAAGTCCGACCAGCTGCGAAATGAGGAGAAGTTGGACTGTATGACGGACTAGTCGGCGAGTAACTCGGCGATGTAGGAGAGTGCGCTGGCGAGGTAGGGGAGTAGTGTCCGCCAGCGGCTGGTGACGTGGGTGAGTAAGATGGAGAGGTTGGAGAATAATTGGGACTTGTTGCTGAGCGGTAGCCACCGGCGGCGGGAGAGGTCGGAGAAAATGAAGGCGAGGTTGGGCTGAACGATGGTGATGTAGAGAAACGGCCACCCTGCAAGGGAGAGGTTGGTGAATACCCAATGCCTGGCGAAGTAGGTGAATAATTCACGAAACCAAGAGGGGACGAGGGAGAGAAAGGACTGGCACCACCAGGACTGGTTGGCCTGTACGGGCTAGTAGCACCACCCAGAGGCCCATATTCAGATAGAGAACCTGGTCCACTGTCTGAACCAGCACCGACAATGGGAGAGAAGTTGCCCATTCCCATGGAAGGCGAGGCGAGACTCATGCCATATCCGCTATCTGCCATAGGCGAACCTGTATCGTATGGTGTTGCCGCTCCATCGAGTTGGGCTCCCTTTACCGCCATACCAGGCATCAGGCCCATACGGGAGTTGTCCGAGATCACCGTGTCGAGCATCTTCGGATCCAAAAAGACATGGAAATGCCCAGTACCCATTGGGGCAAGTTGGCCTAACATGACATTCTCAGAGATACCTCGGCAGTCGTCAAGTTCACCAAGAGAAGCAGCTTCCAAAAGGATTTCTACCGTTTCCTCAAACGAACACCTCATGAGTGCACCGGTATCAGCTCGATTGATACCGTGTCTTGTCACAGCAGCAATACTGCCACGATATGTCATGACATCAACAAGGAGAGAGAGATGTCGCTCGTTGACGTATGAACCATCGAATGCCAAAACTCGTCTCAGCTCATTCAAGAGAGCTCCACGAGCTGCCTCAATGCCGAACACTTCAACAATTTGCCATAGGTCATTCGTGCTGGTTCGCCTGGCATCAACACCTTCAACAGCCAAGACTTCGCGCAGAGCAGTACCTGATGTATCCAAGTACCACTCCTCACATTGGGCAGCACCCTTTTCCTGAACCAGGGCACCACTTTCGTCTTCAACGATCCTTGCAGTAGTGTTGAGAAAGGCCCGGTCTACACCTTTGACACCACGGAGGGTCAAATTCTCCAAGAGATGATCTGCTAGACGCTTCAACATGATATCATCCTCAATAGCCTTATCGCCATCGTCCTTATCGTCTGGCATCGGGCGTATACGGATGACCTGGTTCGGACTATTATCATCACTAGGAATAATAGCAAGATCACTACCATAGTCCTGTTTGAGTCGCAAGACCACATCGTCTATGGACAATCCTTTGTCGAGCATCTTCTGTCTGTCAAGCACAATGCGGAGTAGCCAGCGGGACTGTTTCTCGATGGGGGGGCCTGTCTCATCAGGAATCAGGAAGTATGACTCAACCATGTCATTATCTTCAGCGATGGTTGTTGTATCGATCACAGGATCATAATATATCTCAGTGACAGCGGTGACAGAGCGTAGATTGGTATGTTCCACCATGCTACGTAGCTTCTTTGCTCCCTCCTGGGTTGGCTCACCATCCTGATACACCAGCATAGAAGGTGTCTTGATGTTGCTAGCCACATTCAAAATTTCTTTCAGACGCGGAACACCAAGAGTGACGTTCTTTGACGCGATACCCGTGAAATGGAAGGTATTCAACGTCATTTGAGTGGCTGGTTCACCAATCGACTGGGCAGCCAAAACACCAACCATTTCACCTGGGTTAACCATAGCCCTGCGCCACTTCCGATCGAGCTCTCCAATTACATGATGGAAAGCCATTTTGTCCAGTCGATGGAAGCACGCTAGTTGCTTGAAAGCCAGCTTTGAACGGAGGAGGGCCTTAAAAAGCAGCGTCGCATTTAGATCTGCTTCTTGTGATACTTTGTCGGAACCGGGAACGACGGTCATGCCGTCAATTAAGTTCTTCACAATAGGTATGACGTCCTGTGGTGTGAGATTGCTCGACTTTGTATCATCCACCTTGAGCAGTCTCTTGGCGCTTTCGATTAGTCGAGACACATTGAGTGGAAGTTGGAAGGAGTTCTCCAGTTTCTCAGCAGACATCTTTAGTTTTCTCAAGAACTCCTTGTCCTTTTGCAAACTTTCGTATTCGTAGTCAAGTAGTTCCTGAGCCTGCGGATCTCCTGCAATATCTTGAATGTACTCAAGTGATTCGGTGACATTTGCAGGAAGTGTGTCCATAACATCAAGACGGTATCGCTTCTCAAAATCAGCATTGCGTATGATCCAGTGATCCATGCCCTGCTTTTCGATGTGCATGGCATCCAAACCATCTTCACCGTAGATAAATTGGATGATATCACCAAGCGAGTTCCGAACAGTACCATCATAACGGGCGCTTACGTCTTCAAGAGCCTTGACAAGACGTCGTTGAATGTAACCGGTCTCGGCAGTTTTCACAGCCGTGTCAATCAAACCCTCACGACCCGCCATGGCGTGAAAGTAGAACTCAGAGGGGGTTAAGCCACGCAAATATGAATTTTCAACAAAACCACGCGCTTCTGGTGAGTAGTCGTCCTTGGTGAAGTGTGGCAAGGTCCGGTATTTGAAGCCGAATGGAATGCGTTTACCCTCGACGACCTGCTGTCCGACTAGGGCAGTCATTTGAGAGATATTGATCGATGAACCTTTCGACCCAGAACGTGCCATAACAACAGCGTTGTTGATATCTTTTAGATTGTTCTCAGTTGTTGTTCCGGCTTTGTCACGAGCATCGTTGAGAGCCTTCGACACTTTGCTTTCGAAAGTCTCTCTGATATTCATACCAGGCAACGCTTCAAGCGTGTTTGCGGCGGCCTCGGCGGTTAACCCAGCGACGATTGCCTTTTGTTCGTCAATCTGCTCTTGAATTTTCTCAATTGTGCCTTTGTCTGGAATAGTATCACCAATACCAATACTGTGGCCGTTATGTAGAAGCCAATAGTTGATGACGCGCTGACACCCATTAAGAAATGCCATAGCGCCTTCAGGTCCAAGCTCGTTGTAACACAAGTGCACGATACCGCCACTAGCAGCACCGACATTCTTCTTGGTTAGAAGCCCGAACAAAAGTTCACCAGTTTGGATCAGTAGACCACCATCCTTTAGTGGCGACCAAGGATCACTCCCTTTTTCATTTGGGTTGGTGTAGAGACTAATCTCTCGAGGAATAATCATGCTGACGATTTGTTTTCCAGTCCATCGGGGGCGAGGTTTGAGAATTGAAGGCTGAGGGATGGTGCCATCCCAGTTGGGCACCCACAGAAGGACATTCATGACTTGTTCTTTGGTGAGGAAAACGTCTCGGCGACACATTTTATAAACACCTGCCAAAGTATCCTGTACGATACCCATCAAAGGGCCATTGCGCTGAGGTGAGACAATATTGAGTGGAACCATACAGAGCTCCCTGATCTCAGCACGTGTCTCTTCCGTTTGAGGGACATGAAGATTCATCTCGTCACCGTCAAAATCAGCGTTGTAAGGGGACGTTACGGACAAATTCAGCCGGAAGGTAGAGTAAGGCATGACCTTCACACGGTGACCCATCATAGATTCTTTATGCAGAGAAGGCTGACGGTTGAAAATAATGTAGTCACCATCCTGAAGATGACGTTCTACCTTCCAGCCATACTCCAAAGAGATCTGACCAGCACGTTTGTGGTGTCGAAGATCAATTCGGGTTCCGTCAGAGCGGACAACATACTTTGCACCGGGATGCTCATTTGGTCCGTTTTGCACGAGTTTGTGTAGGCGGGAGATATTATAGGGAGTGACAGTCTCGGGGTAAGTTAATGTCCGTGCAATACTTCGAGGCACGCCAACCTCGTCTAGAGAGATGTTGGCATCACCAGTGATGACGGTACGTGCCGAAAAATCCACTCGTTTTCCCATAAGGTTTCCTCGAAGACGACCTTCCTTGCCCTTTAGACGAGCACGGATAGACTTGACTGGGCGGCCACTCTTCTGAAGAGCCTGAGGCTGGCCAGCAATGTCATTATCCATCAAGGTCGCAACATGATACTGTAAAAGCGTGTCAAACTCATGGGCAATATGACCCGCTGAGCCTTCCTGCAACGCTTGTCGAACATTGCTGTTAGCACGGAGGACATCACCAAGCTTGTAGGTTAAATCATCTTCATTCCGTAGACCCTGACCGGTGCCGTCCATCGAAATACTAGGTCGCACAGGTGGTGGAGGTACAGGCAGCACTGTAATGATCATCCATTCGGGTCGAGCATAGTCCTTGTTTAGACCCATATCCCGAAGATCATTGTCAGAAATGTTCTTGAGAATATTAAGAGCCATCTCAGGTGTGATGTTGATCGTGTTCTTCGACTTGTGGTTTTCCTCGTCTTTTTCCTCGGTGACGGCAGTGAGTTTAAGGGCACCCAGCCTTATCTTGGGCTGATTGTTCCCGCAGCCGCCATGACCGAGTTGCTTAGGCTTGTTATGCGGCTCATACTCTTTGTCCTCGTCCTTGGGTATCTCGTTGCTACATATATTCTTGCCTTTACAGACAGTCCACACGCGCTGGAAACGGGTCTTAGGGTCACGGGTGGCAACAGCCGCCGCGAACTCTGGATCATCCTATGGTGGGCGCATTAGCATCAATAGAATCCAGTGTTATTCAGGACACAAGAGCGTGTGACTGACTCTATCTGCCTTGACTTTGCTGCAATTGGTGCAGACGATCTCTAAGATCTTCTTGACCTTCTTGATAAAGCCAGGGTGATAGACGGGTTTCGCAAGCTCGATATGGCCGAAGTGTCCAGGACACTCGGACATATTCTCTAGACATGTAGCGCACTTGAACTGGCGGTCAACAGAGCCAAGACGCGGGTCGTTTAATCCGTTCTGACGCGGTTTGGTACGTGTCTCGTCCATCGTTTCGGGGTACATAATATGTGCAACACTCATATTCTTGATCTCTTCGGGTGAGAGGAGACCAAATTGTATCTCCTCTACCGTCTTGAGAGGCGCATCAGAGTGCGCGAAATGAAGGTTTGCCATGTTGGATGATGGGGTGAACTGAGATAGGAATGGAGTGAATGATGAGGGAAATGGAGGACAGCGTATCGCGCCCGTCAAGTCGTTAACCCGTAGTCGAGAGAAATCGGCGATCGCGGTATATCAAGAGCGAAAAATGAGCGTGTATAGCGGATGGGCGCGCTGGAACGGGTGAGTGGGAAGTGCAGTTGACAGCACTGGAGGATGCCGAACAGGCAGGCCTTCAGGCCTCGAGGTGAAAGAACTGCTCCCTCCCGGGCGCGCGCAGATACTCGGTCGGTCGCGGGGCTCGAATCGACGATATGGCGAGGATGACGATGTCGGGAACTCGCGGGAGAGAGACTCTGGCGATGCCCGACGCGTTGTGTGCCGTAAATCGATGTCGTGAAGAATGTTGTTGTGGTGGTTGAGGCTGGATTGATTTGGCAGAGGGAGAGGGAGAGAAGGCGTCAAGAGCCCTTGAGGCGCTAGGCCTGATTAAGCACACCGGTTCCACCGGAAAAAATATTTCGCCACAGATGACTGTAGTACCTGTACTCCATTTCATGCCCAAGTTTGCTGGCAAAGGTAGGTACTCTATACCTTCCCAGCCTCACTTTTAGTGTCTAAACGTACCAAGATACTTACCAAGCGCGTCACTATCTGGCATGAATGCCAAGTACATATTGAGCCCCACAAGTCTAGGTACACCATTCACCATTGTGTACCTCCATAACACTCTCTTATTGAGCCATTCCCCCCTCATTCAAATACGTGTAGCTGAGGGAATCACTTTATATACCTACAATAATAACTATGTACATCTTACTGCTTAAGTCCTGCTTAAGTATCATAAGACCCTTTACGGAGTGGTTTGAGAGATATGCCGTGGTTACATTCATGGAGATGGCCCATCTCTTGTGCCTTATCATGTCACAGCGAAGAGGAGTGAAATGGTACTTAGTACCTAGGTAATGTGCCTTCCGTACTGTAAGTATGTAGGTAGACAAAGACGGAAGCCACATTAATGACTCAGGTGTTATGACGTCTCAAGGTTTGTCAGCCAATTTGTCAAACAGAAAAAGTATTATTTTCCCAGCGGGGATCTATTCAAGCAACCTTGGAACCTACAAGGTCAGCCACTCAAAACGTTCTATCCATCGCGCCGTGTCAATCTTCAGCCTTGCGTACAGTGCCTACAGCATCCACCCACCAATGTTTGTGGTTTCCCTTTCTGCATGCCGATATATGGAAACTTGTTTGATTACATGAAATGACCCAGGATCCCCCTACACTGGACACCAGTGCAAAAGTACTGGTCGTCATCTTATTCCACGTGTAGTCATCAATGTGATAGCCTCGCTCTCATAAGACGTTCCCTGGGGGCCCAACTGCTCGTTAAGACAATTCGAAACAGCTTTTATAAACCACACTGGAACGTCAAATTATAATTCAGATCACATCGTAATGGAATGGTAACAATAGAGCACCTCGTATACACTTCTCAAGACGATCGGGGTATCATTAACGGCCTGCGGGGTTCCCTATGCAGGTACACAAAGTAACTGCCTAAGCTCCAAAAGTAGATATTTAGTATACAAAAAGCCAAATATTGCGATAGCCTCTTCAGCACCTACACTACTTCTTCTTAGCCCTGGTGCTCTTCGAAGCAGCCGGTTTCTTTGCTGCAGTTGCTTTATCCTCCTCAGCATCTTCACCATCTTGGGCCTCGCCCATACTTCTCCGCCGCACGGTGCCCGTAGATACAGCCACGAACTCCTCCTCGCTGTCGCTAGCACCAAGATCGTACAGCACCGGCATACGAAAATCTGTCACTCCTAGGTCCTCATCGTATCCTTTTCTCAGGTCCGTCCTTAACACGTCGATGTCCTCGTCCTCCAGGTCCAGCCTACGTTTGTTGATCTCTTCTTGTGGGTGTATGTCGAACTCGTCCTCGCGTTCGATGTATTCGACGTTCTCTTCTACCTCGACGAAATCGGGCGCCAAGGCCGACCAGCGCTGGGGACTCGTAACAGACCATATATAGATTCTCCCCGTTTCCAGACCACAGGCTGCGAGCATAGCACGGTGTGGATGCCACTCAATGACACCTTGCTCTTCCTTAGGTCCTTCCAACATCCTGACCAAGCTACCATGATTCCGCTCCCAGATGTATAATTCATGATTGTTATATGTCGAAGCCGCAACGTATTCTCCCGTTGCGCTGAACGTGACATGATTCCAAGATAATCTATTCACCACGTCCTGAAACTTATGTTCCAGTGGCATTTGTATCGTGTCTGGGTCCAGATCTTCGGCCGAGAGGTTCGGTACATGGAAAGTCCTGATGATCCTGTCTTGCGAATTCACCAGTAGCTCCCTGCCCGACCCTGTTAATCTTAGGGTAGTAACTACCGAACTACATATTTTCTCAGACCATATAATTTCGTGTGTGTTTGGATCTATAAGGTTAAGGCGCCCTTTATTCGTGCCAGCTAGGATGTGGTCGCCTGTCCCAGTCCAAACCGTTGCCGTGGTCATTTGTTTCGCGTCTTCTTTCGCTTGCTTCTCCTTTGTCGCCGCATCGGCGTCGGTATTCGTGCGCCTTGGTGCTGAGGGGAGGGTATGCTTGATGTCGTTAGGATTACTTAGGTCAACTAGCGATGGAGCCTCGTCGAATACGGAAGCGACGAATAGCTTACTATATAGCAGATCGTTAGCGCTCCAAGCTATCATGTCTTGGATTTTGTTGTTCAGCTCCTTACTGGTTCCATGGGTGCAATTCTGCTGTATAGATTGGAGCCCTAAACCGGGCCTCTCTATATCTTGTGCCGTCCTCTAGGTCCCATAGAACTGCTCTCCAGCCCTGGCAGGCCGAGAGAAGATACCGACCGCATCTTGACCAGCTTAAGGAAGTTATAGCCGCTCTATGGCCCCTCAATTTCTGCGCGACGCCCATGGTCTCCAGATCCCACACTACAACAGTGCCGTCGACGCGACCTGAGGCGAGGTAATCGCCTTTGCGATTGAAGCGAAGACATGTTGTATGACCAGACCGGATCGTATTGGTGATGTTCTCCGGATAGTCCTGGAGTAGATAATCGTCAGAAAGAAGGAGGTTCATGTTGCTGGTCTCATATTGCCATCATGTTGGTCGTTGAAGAGTAGAGTTCAGCAATGTTGAATTAATTTATCTAACGCCGGAGCTATCAGGTACATGCACTCGGGTACCTACCTAAACTATGGCGGATGGTGGGGTCTCATCCCGCTGAGACACCCCACCTACAGCACCTCCCTCGTACCAACCTTGGAAGTTCTATATATCTATCATAGGTACGCATCCATGCAGTCTCATTCAATGAGGTGTACTTGTAGTGTCCCCTGGGCATATTATTCACATTCATCAGGGAAGCAGCGGTGCTAGAATCTGGTTTTTATTTCGAATTAGTAACGTCGAGCTTGAAGTTCTGAAATATACCTAGTCAAACCCAAGCATGGCTAACTCACGGTCAGTTAACATCTTACCAAGGTTGACTGACGATAAATTGAGCTTGTCGCTAACTCAACGACAGCTTCGAATATGTGAAGCAATTTGAGAGCAATGATATTCTACTTCCAAACACATGGATAGTCATTAGGATCGACGGTCGGGGGTTCACTAAGTAAATCAATTTCTAGGTGGAACAGTGGGAGACTTTCGACTTACCTGGATATACCTCCCAGGTTATGTGCGAAGTACAAGTTCGAGAAGCCCAACGATCGGCGAGCACTTGATCTCATGAACGCCGCGGCCCAGGCCGTCATGACAGAGCTGCCCGACATTGCCATTGCGTACGGTGTCAGCGACGAGTACAGGTAATGCACTATGTGTTTCTGATCCTGACTACCAGCTGACTCGGAATTAGTTTCGTCCTACACAAGTCGTGTACACTCTTTGAACGGAGGGCGAGGTAGGACTCTGTTCTAATCCATAAATGATGAAAATGAAGCATATTGATGGCAGAATAGCAAGCTCATTACGACGATTGCCTCTACGTTCACGTCTTACTACATTTACTTGTGGCTGGAATATTTTCCAGACAGCCCATTGTCGCCCCCTCTACCTAGTTTTGATGGGCGAGCTGTATGCTATCCCAGTGTACAGAATTTGAGGGATTACATGAGTTGGCGACAGGTCGACTGTACGTTAAATTCACACACCTCTTCTAGAAATATATAGGCTGACGAGCTTTAGGTCACATCAACAACCTCTATAACACTACCTTCTGGTCGTTAATTCAACTCGGAGGGTTTGATGCAAAGGAAGCAGAGAAATTTCTTGCTGTAAGAATCCTCATGCGCTTCTATGAGCCGAAGCTGATCGATACTTAGGGCACCCTCTCAGCAGATAAGAACGAGATCTTATTTTCGAAGTTCAAGATAAATTACAACAACGAGCCCGAGATATACAAAAAGGGCAGCGTTGCTTTTCGTGATGTATGCCACTCTTATTATATGCCACATCAGCCAAACTTGACTTTCTAACATATCCCTAGTACGAGCTTGTAGAGCCCGGAAGCCACAATGTTGCGGAGACGATAGACCATGTAGCAGAGCCAGTCCAGCAGTCCAAAACACAGGAGGAAAAAGACAAGAAACGACGTAATAAAGCCTGCGTTGTGGTTGAACATTTAGATATCATTAAGGATGATTTCTGGGATAGAAGACCATGGCTATTGTCAAATAAACCCGGTAAAGTCCCGAAACAGGCATAGAAACGAATTTATGGTAGTATCCAACGCCATCTGAATGCTTTGAACATGAATATGGACCCTATGATATGATATGAAACAGGAACGCTGGCCATTTTCGCGCCATGCAAGATGGCAATGGGTATATCGTCTCAATTCTTCGATCATCATTTGACTGCGCTCACACGCCTCTTTGCGTCCTTCCGTTTCCGCCTTGCATCTCTTCTCGCTCTCCGCTCTTCTCTTGTTTCGCTAGCCTTGAGTTTCTCCTTAGCTGCTTGCCTCTCAGCCTTCTTGGCTTTCTTCTTTTCGACCTTTTCAGCAGCCCGTCTCCGTGCCTCCCGCAGTGCCTCTTTCTCAGCCTTCTTCAACCTCTTGGCCTCTCTTCGTGCCCTCCTTTCCTCTTTCGTCTCTTCTCGCTTGCCATCTTTTTTGGTCTTCGAGTCCGGTTCTGTGGGGAGTGGTGTACCGGCCCCGCTATCAGGCGGTGTCGGTAATGAAGCTGCGGGATCATTGACTGATCCCTCCATGACACCCCCACGTATAAATGATGTGTATAGCCCCCTGGTGCCGGTGTACTTGGTCGCGACGTTGCGCGCGGTGATCTTTTCGAGCGCGCCTCCTTTCAGAGTCTGTTTCATGGTGCCGCTCTTCGTGTCGATGCCCTTGAGAGCTTGGTCAAAGGCATTCAGCCACCAAGCCTCTTGCTTGTGATCCTTCTTATTACCGAGACCGGCGCCATCTTTATTACGCTTTATGAGGATATGGTGTGTCAGGCCGTTGCTATCGCTGGTCGGGTGTAGAGAGTGGCCAGTCCCCCGCCATCCTTGGGCGGTTAGGAGGGCGTGGGCGTTCATAGGTTGTGCAGCGTCCAGACTTCTGAGGAGGGCGACCGGGCGTGTTTGATCTATATCTGGACATTCGTATACGAGTAATATCACTGACGGTATTTAGCTTTTCGGGAGTCAAGTGTAGCGAAACATCGGAATACTAATCGGATGGGAGGTTTTAGAATCCTCAATTGAAATTTCAGTGGAGCTACTACCTAGCCCACCTGCTCGCCTGCCTACAAGTAGGCGCGCTTCCCCATCCAGCCCCTTCCTTGGCGAGGCATGTATGCTTATATCCGTACATCGTCATTTAAGGGATGCTGAGTTGAGTATGGCGCCACCTCATTATACGCCTTAACTCAAGTCGGAGCTAGAGCGACTTCCTAGGAAGTCGTTTGGCAGGGACATCGATGATTATATATAGGATTCAGAGCAGCATTAAGTACATACAGTACATACATAATATACATACAGAGTCTCGAGAGTTAACCTTTGAAGATGACAGGGTTGGGCCCCACTGCTCATTAGTGCGCTGATGGGCCCCTCCCTTCCCGAAACCCCCACCATATTTGCTGGGTGCAGCACTCATCTACATATATATACATTATAATATGTATACCTATATATGTACGTGCATGTGATAGACTACCTACATGTACGATTATTTTTTAATAAAGGTAGTGTTCGGATCTAAAGCAAGATAGTGGCTAATAGGCAGTCGTTT